TCACAGATAGTAAAGCTAAAAACACAAGTATATTATCTACATTGCGTTATATGAACTCTTTAAATGTTATGTAAGTTCCTTTATTCTTTTCTCATCTATGCTTTGAATGTTTTTGAAATTTAATACCTATTAAAGTAAAAGTAAAACACCCTTTACAGTATCAATGTTCAAAATGTGGAAGAGAAAAATAAAATATTTCCACCTTTATTAATTATCGAATATACTGAATTAACACATGAACAGATCAGCGAAACAGTAGAAGTTACATTAAATTACAAGATTCAATTCATTCTGAACAAACACAATGCTGATGTTAATTTTAAGGTAAAAATTGCAATAATAAAAATAACTATGACACATCATGTTTAACCATTTTTATTATAACTTGTTATACAATATAAAAATATTTTTTTAGATAATCGTTGGAGTCTTCTCAGGATTAGCATTAAGTTTCTCTGGCATAAAAACATGGAGTCGTAGTAAACAACATAATACCACTTGTTCATTGACAATATTAATTTGGTTTTTCATTTATGCTATGGGTGCAGTAGGATCTGTAATTATTTTGAGTTTAATCAGTTTATGTATATATTTATTCATATTTTATAAAGGACAAACAATACCACATATTCTGCTTTTTGATAATATTAACGAGAAGACTATTAAATTGTTTACTACAATAGCCTTTACTTTTAAAGTAAGTATTAATGTATAAAATAAAATGCGAATATAACTATTACAATTAATTTGTTTATATGGATATTGATAACTTCTTATTTAGTTTATAGAAATGCTTGGATTTATTTGTCAACATTGGAATATCAACATATTTTTTATGGATTGGGAACAACCCAAACCAGCATATAATCAATTGAAATATGATCCTCCATATATTTCTTTATACAAGTTACATACCAATAAATTATCAGAAAATAAATATGAGTCTTTGCAAACGATATCGGAAATAATAACAACTAAACAGGAAGAAACTGCTGACCAAAGCAATGTTAATCATTCAACTGCATATACAGTATCAAAAAGTTCCCCACAAAAAATAATTAAGCATAACAATTTGTCTGTTAGTATTTGGAGAACATATTTTATTGCCAATCAGTGGTTAAAACTTCAGACAAAGCGAAAAATAAATATGATAGTACAATTAGTTGCTGTTTTATGCATTTTTCAGGTAAATTATAACTGTATTAAAACAATAATTTGAAAATTAAATTTAGAATAAAGATTAATCTTGTCATTTTAAGTAGATTGTACAGCTATATCCTTGGATTATTACAATACCTGAGTTTTCATCCAACTTTCACGAAGACAATTGCAGTTTTACTCTTTACTATACAATATGTACTGTGATATATGTTTTAATATACTGTGTTCAATGGTTGTTATCAATAACATTCTACGAACGATATATTACAAATAGAATGCAAAATTTTATAGATCTGTGTTCAATTGCAAATATTAGTGTATTCATTTTACCATTTAATTATTATGGTTTTTATATTCATGGAAGGTAATATATTAGATAGTAGTGTATAAAATATAATAATTTAAAATAACTATTATTATTCTTTTATGACAGATCGGTACACGGATTTGCAGATACAGATTTGCCAACTTTAATGAATGACTTGGAGAAAGAAAAAAATAATTTATGCGCGCATAGAGGTCTCGTGCCGGGAACATCTCAACAAACATTTATATTATCTTTAACAAAAACGTTCAGAATGGTTTTTGCCACACTTACAAAACAAACACAGATTGTATGTATTACATGATCATTATTTAAATTTTACTTAAATCCTTAAAAATTTATTGTACATTGTGCTTATCTTCTTTCAGAGCTCTAATCGTTTTCTAAAAACGTATTTCTTTTCAACTGAAAACTGGGAGCAGAGTTTTAATATACAGTTCAAAGTAAAACAGTTCTTATGTAAATTTGTGGATCATTGTTTCAAAGATGTGGATTATATTATCAAAGAACAACATTTCTTTGAAAGATTATGTAACATCCTGTTTTTACATAGCAAAGAAAAATCAATCTTTTATATTGGTAACATCACTTAATCTAAAGAGCAATACAAAAGTATTTTCAAATTCTTTACATTTTCTTATTTACAGATAATAATCATTCCTTTGATCAAATACTATTTTATGGCAATGAATGGTTGTTGGCAACATTTGAAATGTCATTATTTACTTTTGTGGTAGTATTATGCAAAGATTGTTTGCTAGCCATTATAGTTACAGTATCAGTATCGCTACTATTAATTATAATTGTCAAACATAATAGACTAAAAAGTTTAAGTAATAATGCATTACTAGATAAAACATTTCTTACATGATATCATTATAATTTAAAAAAACATTCAACAAGACAAAATTCACTCATATATTTCAAATATAAAAGTTCTTTGGCATTATCCATAACTTTTGAAGACTGTTAATTTTCCAGCATCACAATTATATATAAAGGGGACTAAATGATTTTAGTTTTAGTTGATATATACAAACTACTTTCAAAATACAACAAATGAAACAGATAAATATTGAATGCCTGGTTATTTTTCCATAACCTAAAGCAACAACATAATTGAATTTCTTTTTATAATTTATTTTATAAAGCAGAATATTTACAATAATAATTCTAGTTTATTTTACTACAGATACAGCTCATTTTTTTAAACAACATTAATGGTGACCACTGGTATCATGACTTTCATCGTGGTGTACACTATAATCGATTCCAAAATATCGTTCCACAGCTATTGTCAATAAAAATGCTGGAATACCAAGTTTGTAACCTCTCGAAAATCCCTTTAATGCTCGTAGATAAGGATTTGGTATAGCATGTTTGTAACGCCAGACTTCATTCCTTATCCAAGGATCTTTTAGTCCTTTTTCAGCCAACCGTTTTTCAAGATATACAAGTTCTGGCACTTCTTCCACCTTATATATGTTTGGACTTGGTACTTTTGGTATACCATGTCCATGACCCCCCATTTTCTGCAAAGAATTTCGATTATTAGTTTCAATGTCTTAATTCAACGTTTGAATATATAAATATAATTGTGATAGTTCAATACACAATATATCTAAATACAATTTACCAAATGAGAACGAACAAGTAAAGAGTACTTTTACCACAGAGTACTATTACAGAAGCGAAACTCTTATCAAAACCTTTAAAGTTCATGTCCCTCATCTCCTTAAATAAAATAAGGGCAAACCACTATAACCTGGGAGAGTCTCTTTTCAGGAAGGGCTTAACACCCTCACCACAATGTGAGTGTGGTCACCCATCTGAGGACCTGAACCATTTTATATGGTTACGGAATGCCCATAATACAAAGATGAAAGGAAACAATTAGGAAGGGAACTAACGAAAGAAGGAATTGACTGAAACCAAGAGACAATCTTATTAATAAACAGGAAAAATAAAGGGATTGCGAAAGCGATCGCCACTTTTATTAGAAAAACGGGTAGAACAATATTGGGAAAATGGTACATGACTGAGGAATAACCAATAATTCATAACATAAGGTAGAAAAATCTAAGAAAACAGGAAACGAGATGTAAATATATATTTTTTTTATAAAAAAAGGCGACAAAGTATAAATTAGAGACTAAGAAAATAGATAGTAGGTATTAGAAAATTTTCCCTCAAGGGAAAAATAAAAATAAGTAAGTTAAGATAGATAATAAGAAATGTAGTAATAAGAATGTAAACAAAAGACTTTTTGACTGTACCTGATTGTAACACAATAAGATAAATTTATTTTTGTAATGTACAGAGATGAGGGGAGAGATGCGCCCCAAAAAGTGATTTTTATTTATAAAACGTTTTCATTGGGTAAGAGGAGGGAAACTAGTACCTCGAACGCCATCTCTAAATAGCACCAAACTTGTACTAAAGTTTGTAATGTCTTGTTACGCTATCACGTGAACTTAGCTTCATGGCATGTAGCGCCACAACGCGGAATAGCTTAAACACTACCGCATGTAGTATATATTTATATTCAAATTAGAAGCGGGATTCAAATGGATTAACGCATTGAATCAACGAACCGCCACGTACATTGTTAAAACATTCAACGTGGGTGATCAAGCGTGGGAAAGTCGAAAGTCAGGAGAGAAAAGGGAACGTTCGCTAAAAATACTTAATAGATTCATTATAGGCCGTGTCGAATCGCCGTTTCCGTTGGAATGCATTTCTTTCGAATTCGAGTTGAGTTAGCTTTTGTTCCAGCTCGTATGATCCTTGAAAATAACAGACTCGCGCTGTACCTCGGTTCGCGTTTCCAGCGACTTCTTCAAGAGGGTAATAAATTTCCTTAAGGTGCTGTGTCTCGCTGGCACGTTTTCTCTCTCTCTAGACCTCCGCGCTTTCCTTTTTCACATGTAGCCCTGCACAAACATGGCCGCGCGACTCCCACCTCCACCCGACTCGGGGTTGGATCCGAGATCGATGAAGATCACCGATAGAAGGAGTAGGGCGCAACCCCCGATTGGACCAAGACAACCCGAAGGGAGGATCGGGAATCTTCCGTAGAAGGGAGAGAAGCAGCAGATCGAGCGAAGATTTTTCCAGAGAGATCAATCGTAATCGAACCTCTGAGAACGAACTACGAAACGATTTTTAAACCAAACGAGTCGACCGAATAAACGTCTTTGCTGTTTCTTAAAAGTATTTCGAATTTTATTTCACGCGCCTCTCCGGGCAGAGCGGTTCAGCGCTCCACGGGCACCTTACCCACGTCAGAAAATTCCCTATCACCGCACGACGCGTTCCGCAACACAGCAAACTTCAGATTTATTCGAAGCTTAGGGTTTTGCCCATCACTGCCTTATACAGCTTCATGGCTACTACACTAGTATACATATCAGTGATACACTCCTGGTCTGAAACAATGAACCAATGAGATTCTTTCGAAAGTCATGATATTGTGTAACTAGAGTCCACCGCCTTACTAGATGAACGTCATGGTTGATCTTAGAATGAACTTTTGAACAGAAAGAATGTCGAAGAAGGAATACGAATGTAAAATTTTAAATTCATGATCAAATTAGTGTGTATAACATATGTTGAATATGTAATGTAAGTTTAACGTAAGTTTGGTTTAGAATAATTATTATTTACCGTAAGGCTATTACGACATGTATACATTTAACTAACGATTATAGAGTATAGAGACTCGGTTGAATAAATAGCGCATATAGAAACAAAGCTTGATATGTGAAAAGTAGTATTTTGGCACGAGTACTAGATACAACAGATACCATCAGAAAATGAGAAAATAATAAAATTGGTGTCATATGTTGATTAAAACAAGGTATACTATTGTTGATTGAAACAAAGATGCGTTAGTTGTACAATATTTGTGAAAAGAAACCACATAAACGATTATATTTTAATAATATTTAAGTGATATATTGTCATAGAATTCTTTATTCATTTCTTCATATTGAACTAAGTGTCGAATTTAAATTAATTATTCGCATTAACCTTTATTAAAGAATATTATTGTTATATTGTAATTGTGTATATATTCAATGATAGGTTAGTTTGCATATCATTGTCATGTTTGCTTTTGTTTCCAATGTACGATACAGTAAGAATAATTGGAGATTCTTTAATGATTTTCAGAAGATATTTAATTGTTTCAGTACAATAAAGCGATTTATGAAATAAATGTAGAAATGCTTAACATACATGATAAAGATTATAGAGTTTTGGATTTGGTACGGCAACGTGAGATACAGGTATGTCAGTGAAGAATACTTATAACTTTATACATATTGTATTCATGTGACTTTTTACCATTTCAATTGGTAAAATATAATTTTGGAGCAACATTTCCCAAATATTTTTAGTTCCAGGACATAGATCATTTTATAATATATGTACATAATATTTACATTCTTTGTTAGTTATAATATTTAAAAGAAATTAAAGATTAAAATTTATACATAAAAGTTATAAGTGTAGTTGAAAGTAATAGTAGTATTTTGAACTATTAGGGAATCTATTTTACTATTGCTAGTCTGTGTAAAAATGTATACATATATATTTTTTAACCTAAATAAAAATAAGCAACAACTCACTCATTTTATATTATTTTTCATGGAACATACTTTGAGAAATGTTGCTTATAAATCTGGTCCTTTATTTTAGAAATGTCATTTGTATTATTTTATGTTATATTATATTAGCATTAGAATAAGTTTACAAATTATATTATATTAATATTAATATTCAATAACAATAAATTGCTGCCTTTCTGTATTTCATTTGTGATACTTTATTTAGGATTCTGTAGCATATGCAGTTTCTCAGAAATTGCATGTTACAGAAAGTTTGATAGCTCGATTAGGATTAGAGAAAGAATTGGTCGGGCATACAGGATGTGTAAATTGTTTAGAATGGAACGAAAGTGGACAGTGAGTACCACTAACTAAATAAAAATATATATTTCTATATAGAGTAGAAGAAAGTAATACATATAAATTAATGTGGACTTTTAGGATCCTTGCTTCAGCATCCGATGATATGAATATTATTTTATGGGATCCATTTCGATACGAAAAAAAATTACTGCTTCGAACAGGTCATCATGGAAATATATTTTCTGTTAAGGTACTATCATATGTTAATTTTAAATATAATGTTGAATATCCGATATGTATTACATTTATTTTACACATGGTTTTAGTTTATGCCAAAGTCAAATGATAGTATACTGGTGTCGGGTGCTGGTGATAGCAAAGTACGTGTTCGGGATCTCACGCTTACCGAACCCATACTTATATGTAATTGCCATATGGGCCGTGTCAAACGTATCGCTACTGCTTCTACTGTACCTTTCCTTTTTTGGAGTGCTGCAGAAGATGGTCTTGTTTTACAATATGATATTCGCATGCCACACACCTGCAAAAACAATGAATGTAATACTGTATTGATAAATCTCGTTAATCATTTGGGTCAGTATGCAGAAGGCAAATGTATTTCTGTAAATCCAAAAAAACCTGAATTAATAGCTGTTGGAGCAAACGATGCCTATATACGAATGTACGACCGCAGGATGATTAAACTTTCTCAGGTAATTACTGCAATAACAAAAATGTAATTCTAGATCTATTTAAAGTTTGATATCTAAATAATCAAATAATTGATGACATTTCTTTTTAAAATTTCTAATATTTTTTGTACTATAGGTGCCTATTATCTCTTCTCCACGCAGTGACTGGGAGAGAGGAGATTTAAATATACGTCGTGCTGGTGAAGGCGATCCAGATGAGAATATACCATTGGGTTGCGCACAGTACTTTATCGCGGGTTCGTTCGTACGATCAGAGATAGCGTACGCGACTCCTTTACCCTAATCTTCCTTTTTTGCTACATATTACATGATTGCTTTAACAGAGACTGTTAATGTTTGATATTGACCAGGCCACCTGCAGTCTCGACAGCGTAAAAGTAGGATTCTCACTACTACATATTTAAACTTCAGTGCTGATGGGAATGAGCTGCTTGTCAATATGGGTGGTGAACAAATTTATTTATTTGACATCAATAATCCAAAATCTTTGAAGACATACTGTGGTCATTTTACAAATACTTATTCAGGTAAGCGTCAAAATTATGTAAATTTTTGCCCCCTTTACTTTTAATTTCAAGAATAACATACATGTTAAGTATTTAAACATTTATATAACACATTCTCTGTTGCAACAGGTAATACACAAAAATTGTAATTGTAATAAAACAGTAAAATAGTAATTTAGAATAAACAAATCAATTCTTCATTTTATTTTACGTATTATTTTATTATTAAGTTGGATACATCAAGCTTTACTTGTCTATCTATACATAACACAAATTTATCTGCATTTACATTATTATAAAATATACGGCTATAGGAGATCTTGGAAAATGCTTTGTGGAAAAGAATAATCCGGATGCTCTAGATGGTACTAGGAAGAACATTAAAGTTCTACCACATCATGTCGAAGAATTAAAATGTCAAGTATGTTTATGTCATAAAAACAGTTCCAAATTACTACTTATTAATTATCTAACAGTTTAAATGCTAAGAATTTAATATAAAAGAAAAAGTAACTATTTAAATTAGTTTTGCTTTTTTTCTGAATATCTTTAGGCCAATGGACATTTTGAACAACAAAAGTATACTTTGGCAATTACCTCATACAACAAGGCAATCAGTTACTGCCCTAATGCAGCTGTGCTTTTTGCTAACAGAGCTGCAGCATATATGAAACGAGCTTGGTATGTACTTTCAATTATTATACTTAAAAAGTCCAATTTATAGAGAGAAAAGCAAAAAGAAATTAATTATTGAAGAAATAAATAATTGTTTACATATGATTTTGCTATGGTTTCAATGTAACTTATAGGGACGGTGATATATATGCTGCTCTTAAAGACTGTCAAACTACATTACTCCTTGATCCAAGTCACGTAAAAGCACATTTCAGGTATCAGTAACTGTAAATATTACGATACTGCATTTACAGAAGAATATATACTATGTATTACATATTTATTCATAGATTGGCACGATGCTTGTTTGATTTACATCGGTCAGTTGAAGCTGAAGAAGTAATTAAAGATTTTCAGCAAAAATTCCCTGAATATGCATCTAATTCTGCGTGTAAAGCATTAAGAATGGATATAAAGGAAGCTATAGAATCTGGTATGTTTCGTTTTATATTTTATTCAAATCTTAAACATTGGAATTCGTGTTAACTTTTAAATAGATATATTTATACTATTATATTAAACAAATGGATCTCTTGTTCAAATTTATGAAAAATCTTTATTTAACAAATGGTCAGTATAATTTTATTTTATAATTAGGCAAAGATAGCGACATAAATCGCTTTCCATTACAAATCTCCGAACACGAACAAACATGGCGACATAATACAATTGACTATAAAATGAGATTCTGTGGGCACTGTAACACCACAACCGATATAAAAGAAGCTAATTTCTTCGGAAAGTAAGTATTATTTTGAAACTTATTCAATAATCATTTATAATATATAGTTTAGTCTACCTATGCTACATTGATGATTGACAACTTTTTTCTTTAAGCAATGGTCAATATATTGTGGCAGGATCAGATGATGGTTCCTTTTTTATTTGGGATCGAAATACCACGAATATTATTCGTGTATTAAGGGGAGACGAACGTATTGTAAACTGTCTGCAACCTCATCCATCTACATGTTTATTAGCTACCAGCGGTATCGATCCAGTAATTAGATTATGGAGTCCTTTACCTGAGGCATGTATTCAAACTATCTCTCTATAATTATTTTTAAAAAAATTATAAAAATTATAATTATAAAACTATTATAAAAAATAATGGTTAACATAATAGATATCATGCTGATCTAAAATTAAAAAATTTTTTATTATTCATGTATATAGTTTGATATGCTAAATCTGAATGTGGAAGAACTTGTCAGACTCAACTCTGAATTAAGATTTGTCTTTTCCTTTTTAAATTAGTTTAATAGCTGTCAGTTTTGTTGGAAAAGTGAATCGATTCACATTCAAATATATTTGTTATCCAATATAGGATGGTAGCGTAAATGAAAGAGAAATTCAGAATTTGGAAGATGCTGCATCCGCAAATCAAATACGTATGAATAGTGATCCGTTCGAGGTAATGCTTATGAATATGGGATACCGATTTCCTGTTCAACAGAATGAACTTAACGAAGATGGCGACGCGCAACAAGATCAGTCAATTATGCAACCTTTGAATTGTAGACCAAGTTAAATTGTGAAATGAATATGAAAAGTGGTATAAAATTGCAATTAACCCATTTACATTAGGAAGCAGACTGTGTTGTGTTATCCGTATCACTATATGTGGCATGATTTACAAGGTAATTGCACTTTAACACAAACGTCGTTCGTGTTCTTCCGTGCTGTGGCTGAACATAACTTTTAAGCAACATCAGACTTCGTGGAATCCAAAATAATGGATAAAGAATGTAATACTTTGGCAAAAAATTTACATAATTTATTAAAGTAATCTAAACAAAGATTGCACGTTATAGTGATATAGGTATCTTAGCACTTGTGGATTAATCCACGACTAATTGTAAGCGATAGGGCTATATAAACTAAACATCGAATGGGAAATATTCTGCTTCTTGATGCAAATAAGTTAAATGACCGAAGACTTATTCAGTACTGTATCGTAAAATATTAATGTTTTAATTCCAATTATCTATTTTTTTATCAATTTTGTGTAGTTGTTCACTTTTCCGTAAATAAAGTGCTAAAGAATATTTTACAAGATGTTAATAATACATTAAAAAGAAAATAGCTACATATAACCATTTATTGATCTTTCTATGGACAAAATGGTTAAGAATAATTGGCAAAATGCTGATATATTAACTCTTTGCGGTCGTATTTGCAACAGGCATGGTAGTCATACCAATCAGAATTATTTTTGTCAATTATTGTCTACAAAAACGTATAAATTTATTATTACGGTATTCGATACTTTATATCTCTTAATAAATGTAGAACAACTCTTTTCTTTGAAATATATTTAAAAAAAAATTATATCCTGGGAACATTCTGAGATTCGATCGCAAAGAGTTAAAAACAAATAATTACTATCAGTCTATTTTATCTGTATCCCACTCAAACAATTATCTAATAAATAGAAAATAAATCAAAGATTGTGAATCTTAAAAAATATTTATGGATATATTTTATTGTTGTAATTAGTTTCTCTTTATTATTAAAATACTTCTTTACAATTGTTTCCAGTTGAACATGTTGTACGATATTACTTTAATTTAAAACATTAGTAGACATTAATAATAATAATAATAATAATAATAATAATAATACATTAATAGTTCTTACAATTTTATACATAAGATAATATGTTTATGACATTTAAAGTTTATAAATGTTTTATAAATTAATTTTGAGGCACGAGTTCCCATATACTCTGCAATTTATTGGTTTCTTCAGAATTTTCTGCAGCAAGACCTAAGTAGTTTGAAAAACTCGGTTTCTTCTGATTTAATCCTTCAGAAAAATAGTAACCAAATACGTTCAACATTTCAACTTGATTGTCTTGTATTTCAGAGTATTGTTCTATATTTAGCTCCTGCTGTAATGGTGCCTGTAATAATTAATGTATTATTAAGTAACAATGTAATATATTTATTTATTCAATAAATCGTTTTTAAAGATTAAATTCCTGTAGCGTTACCTGGTGTTCCAATGTATAATCTACACCAAAAATCGGAAATTTTTCAAATGTTTGAAAGAGCATTAAAATTTCTTTGTAGACAACATGAAGCCTCTCTAAAGGTCTAACTCGAAAACCTAATATATAACCTCCACTAGATTCTGTGCTCACGATTACTAAAGTTGGACCAAATTTGGAACTTTTAATACTAATCTATTAAAATAACAATACTTTATTAAATTCCTTTTGTATATTTGTAATACATTTTTATACATCTATTTACTTACATTTGCTATTATTAGGTACGGAATTGATATATTAAACTGATAATTCATATCAGCAAACCATACTAAACGTATATTTGTTACAATAAATGTTCCCATATTTCCCTAAAAAAACGAAATTATAATATTTGATTGTTCAGGAATAGCAAAGATTTCTGTAAGTAATGATTAGATTTTATACCTGTTCCAATGATAAATTCCAAATATCCTGTAAAGTTGAGCATACAGTTTCTTGTGGAAGTAGAGTTAATAGTTGCTCGTTAATTATTCCACTTCTTAATTTAATTTCTCGATAAACTTTAGATGAAATATAAGCCCTGTAATATTGCAATTTTTAAACCACACTTATTTAATATGTGTAATTCCAACATGATGTTTCATCTTTTGAAAGAAATAGATTTTGGCTAAACTCAAAATATACCTGTATACACCAATAACAGATGTATAATGTCTTGTACTTTTTGGATCTTGATTTGTAAATATAAATTCATATCTGCAATTTTGAAATGAAGCTAAAATATGTAGTGCTTGCGTATGCCTTCCTTGCAACTATAAAAGTCATTGTATGTTTATCATTTTTATATACAAATTGTATTTAGTATATTAAGATATACAAACGGTATATATAGTTTTAGAATTTGCTGTAATGAAGGTGTTATAGCCAATACCTGTAAAGACAAATATGTCTGCATAAAATTTCATAAGTATTGAGAGAGTACTTAACAATGTATCTTGTAAAATATTTCTTCTTCCCATTTTCTAAGGTACATATTATTTCAGATTTGTTATCACTGGCAATAGTAGATTTTCTTCTGGCATTTATACTTAATTACTTTTTTTTTTTACAAAAACAGAAGTGTAAGTAAAGAACAAATATATGTTTAAAATTAAATTACTTAATTTATACTTAAAATTTTACTTCATACTTAGATTTATTCGAGGAAGAAGCAAAGAATGCCATATTATTCTGAGATTTGTTACTATGAGTCTTCCATTATCACCTGCATTTCCTTTTGTATCTTCTATTAAATCAAGTTTATCAATCGCAAATTCCCCCAATCGTAGTTGCATTTGACTAAACAAAATTTGAAACGCTACATGTATTAGAATTTATGATCCTTATGAAAAATATACAAAATTACTTCCTCCATATTACTTTATATAAAAAAAATAACTACATATAGTATTTCTTTACATGACCTGCTTTATTTTAAACTTTCCTATAATTACTAATGTATTTATTATATTTACTATAATTTTCACAGAAATAAAATACATCAATATTATAACAATAAAGTAAATAAAGTATTACGAGTAGATAATGTCAAACCGAACTTCACTGTCTTGCCACATTTCTGATAACAATATATGAACAATATCAGCAATTGTGTAGAATTCATATACGAATCAATATCGTTGCCATACCTACAAAAGTACAACATCAGTCTACAAGTAGTAAGGTCTAAAATAGCTTCATATATTTTATCTTAAATTATTCGATATTACAATCATTTAAATATAATTTTAATTGAAGCAAATGTAGGAAATTTTAGTGTGCGGTAAATTCATCATAATTGTATTAGAAGTGTATCAACAAGATTTGAGGGTTTAAATTTCGTGCGTTAGCCAAGAAGATTAACCACTGATGGCGTTGGTGAGCGTAATTGAATTATACTGGGTGTCCCAAAAATGTTGTAACACCTTGAAAGGGGTGGTTCGGGAGGTGATTTGAAACAACTTTTTCCGTAGCGAAAATGTTCTCCGAGGGGTCGTGAGGAGATATTAACAGAAAACCCGAACCAATCAGAACGCGCGTATACCGTTGGAGCGACTAGCCGTCCGCGCTCATACGGTACCGCGGGCGCCCCACAGGCATACTCGCGCTCTGATTGGTCAGTGTTTTCCGTTAATATCTCCTCAACGAAGCCGCGAACAACATTTTCGCTAAGGAAAAAGTTGTTTCAAATCACCTCCCGAACCACCTATTTCAAGGTGTTACAACATTTTTGGGACACCCTGTATAGTAATGACTGAGTCAACTTGAGTCAACGAAATAACCTAGAACGAATCAGTGACAGTTTAAGTAAAATTACCGATTATATGCGCATTTAACAATATTTTTCTTAATTTAAAAATGCTAAGGTACCCTAATTAAGTTTACGGTAACACTGAGAATTGCGACATGAAGAATGTCGAAGTCTAACCTCTTTAATGGTACTCTGTGCTGAATCGTAAATATTGACGGTTGTTAGATTATTAACTCAAAACGAGTAACAATTTGTGTCCCTTTGTTTTACAGCTAATTTGTTTACCGTTAAATATCAAACGAACCAACAAGTATACGGTCAATGATAATACAAAGTCAAAAGTGCAAGTTGTGATTGTGTTGCAAGATAGAAATAAGTAAAGTTAGTTTAAATCTTGTCTGTTAAGAAAATGTCTGATTATTTCGATGAAATGGGTTGGACACCACTAGGAGATGGCGAGGCACCAAATAATCTAATGCAAATAGCAAGGCTCTTCCGAGATTATGGTATGTGGAATTTTTTGGGCCTCCCCAACGAACTACCACCACCTGCTTCAAAATCTGCGATTGAGAATCTGAAAGAAATTGAAGTTAGTTCTTTGGATTCAAAACAATGTCCTGTATGTTTAAAAGACTTTGAAGCTGGAATATTCGCAAAGTGCATGCCCTGTAAACATACTTTTCATACAGAGTGTATAATACCGTGGTTAGAAAAGGTATCGATTCTTACTAGTCATTGTTATCGATACATGAAGATATAACGAATCACTTCATAAAGAGGATTTCGCATTTCCAGACAAATTCGTGTCCGCTATGCAGATATGAATTACCAACGGATGATGAGGATTATGAAATGTATAGGAAGGAAAAGCAACGTGCAGTGGAAAGAGAAAAAGATTTAGAAACTTTGCATAATTCAATGTTTTTGTAGAAAAGTATATGTATATATGTAAACGTCAAGTGTTTTATTTCTTAATATGATCACAGATGAGGTATATTAACACATTGATTGCCAAATAGATATCTTTGAATGTTGTTCAGAGGCTGTAATCACTTAACATTATGTACAATGATACAAAAATCGCATTTTCTTTCAGGATGTACGTTACAGAATTCTACAAATATTATGTTTAATGTGTTCATTGTGGATGGTTTTTTCATGTACTTTCATATTTGAGGTGGTATGAATCATGTGCACTATATATCATATTTGAGTAAAGTATATAGCCTACCAAGAAGAAGAGTACAACGTGAGATAGACCTTACCGCAGCAAATAGAGATTAACATTGTCCACCGAATAAAGTTATTTTCATATTTAAGGAATGTGAAGCATCCTGGAAAATCTGACAGATGGAAGTCCGATGCATTAGAAGATACATGTATTTGTATGTAGTAAACATATTGTTATACGCGTGAAAGTATACGCTAAACTTTAATTGGTTATCTACAAAATTGGCTTTGATAAAGTAGCTTCTGTGATTTTATTCAAAAGTTTTACGTTCATACAGTTGATACTTATCTATCCAGTTTATCAGCACAAAAGAGATGGACATTCTTCTTTTGCAAGGCTATCGTTTTGTTAAGCTGCATTGTTATAAATTAATCTATTAAAAGTTATAATTATACATAAATTAATATTTTTAAGTTGTATGTTATAAATGAATAAATTGAAGCCAAACGCATTAAAAATCATAAAGAGTATTTTTATCTCATGAATGTATAGAGAAAATATACAATTTATAGTTTTTATAATTTCTCTTATATTCAATGTAAAAATGTTTGAAAACAGGTGATAGAAAAATGAGCACACTTAGCTAACTTTTTTCGATATATAGAGTAACTAATTTATTTTACAGCTTGTATTTGGTACAGACTTACAAGCAGAGGTAGGCAAAACCCTAGACTTCGAATAAATCTGAAGTATGCCGATGTGGTTCTCTCGTTTCCTTCTTTGGAAAATGTTCAGAAGAAACGAGACAAACATATCGGCAAACTTCAGATTTATTCGAAGCCTAGGGTTTTACCCATCACTGCTTACAAGTTGTTACTGTGTAGTGTATCTAGTGATTTTAGCGCCCCTCCAACTAGGGTAGACTTATGTTCATTGACGATCGATACAGGGTGTCCCAAAAATGTTGTAACACCTTGAAAGGGGTGGTTCTGGAGGTGATTTGAAGCAACTTTTTCCTTAGCGAAAATGTTGTCCAAGGCTTCGTTAAGGAGATATTAACAAAAAACCCCAACCAATCAGAGCGCGCGTATACCGTTGGAACAACTAGGCGTCCGCTTTTAAAAAAGTTGTTTCAAATCATCTCCCGAACCACCTCTTTCAAGGTGTTACAACATTTTTGAGACACGCTGTATGTTCGCGAAATTTCTAGAAAGGTTTTGTATATTCAGTATATAGTTTCCTTCATTTCCTTAGTACTTTCAAATCTCGTGTGAGGATTTACGATCTTCAACATTATTTATTTGATCTTACGTTAATCGTGTTTGAATATTCCAGAAAGACGTGAATTTTGCAATCGAGTGTCTTGATGTTTAGTATTTTTCAATTTTGAAGTTGAAGTTAATTAAAAATACATAGAAAGTGACTGGCAGAATTTTATTTGACAAAATTTTTCGAAAAATTTTGTAAGTAAAACATAGTTGGTATTACACAAATTTTTTTAATAAATATATTTCTCTTCATAGAAACCATGTTTTAGTGAGTATTTAACTTGTAGGTTATGATATATACATTTTCCTCAATTCAGAATTAACATCGATGGAAAGTATGACAATTTCCTATTTTGGGATTATCATTTTCTCGATTTAGTATGCAATTTACTCGACAGGTTTAAATGTTTAAACATTTTTTTATAGGAAAGTTAACCTTTCCATAGTCACACTACTATTTGTACAAACATTTTTATTTTATACATATACTGATCATCTGTAGTGGATGTTAAATCAAAATCGATGTTTATTTCTTCTTAATTCTTATTTTTTTGAACAATTATATGTAACATTAATAATAAACTTTTACAATTAATTTACATTAATTCTCATGTTACAAGGTTTCCCTTGCATATTTCTTGGTTTTATCATGAAATCAGGTCCGGCGTGACCTTTTGCGGGGCTGGCTCCAAAAATATTGCGGGCCTGAATTCACATTCAAATCCTACACTTAAATTTTACAACACGGAATTATTTGTTTACAAATGCTGTTACATATCTTTTATAAGATGAATATTAAATAATAATACTTTAATGATTTTTGTCACTTCTTTAAACTGAATCATTGCTAATAAAAAAATGTCTTGCATCTGTTAATGGTATCATCATTTCATAAAAAATTAATCAACATTTTCGTAGGCCGTGGTCCTCCAAAATACGGGATCAGGTTCCTGCGAATGCATTGAACCTGCCTTGCACCAGCCCTGCATGATATATATAATGTATTTAGTAAATACTATTTCCTATAACATTAATAGATGAACATGAAATTTTATGTTTCAGGAATAGCTATTTATTTTAGTTAATAAATTTGGACATTATAACATACTGAGAGCTTCTGACTTCAAACATGGCTAAGTGGGGTGAAGGAGATCCAAGATGGATAGTTGAAGAAAGGCCTGATGCTACTAATGTTAATAATTGGCACTGGTATGGTAAAACATACATGTAATAGTTTTAATATGTTTGGTATGATAATCTTTTGAACAGAAAAATCCCTTTTATGATTGTATTTTTCGAGTTCAGGAAAGGTATTACAAGCAAAAGTTTGAAAGTATCTGTATTTACTCTTAATTTTATAAAAATAAAATAATTTAATGTTTTTTTTTTTTTTTTAAATGGTTGAAGTTACTAATGTAGTATTCTTCAAGTAATTTAATTAGTAATATTTTTGAAGGACGGAAAAGAATGCCTGTGCCTGGTCTCAGGAGAAGTTGAAAGAATTATTTACCAATATGAAGATAGAAGGAGATGAAGGTAATTTTAATGTTTTGTATATATAAATAATGTATAGAATTATAATATAATACATGTTTATTACAGTACCTATTTTTGGGAAATTTAATACTTAAAATATTTGCATTAGAATGTAGTCAATGAAGTTACGGTTTTTTTTTCCAGTTTCGTGTACAGTAACAGAAGTAGAAAAATGTGAGGGTGAGGCAATGGCAAACAATAGAAAAGGTAAATTAATTTTCTTCTATGAATGGAATATTATTTTGAAATGGATATTCAATGGAAAATCTAATAAGAAGATAGAGGGTAAAATAAACATTCCGAATCTATCTGAGGAGAATGATATTTCTGAAATAGATGTAAGTAAAATGTTTCTACAAAACAAAATCATAGTTATTGTTCATAAACATTTAGTTCGTAAATAAGTATATAAACGAATCTAAGGTATAAACTTATGTTACTATGAAGAGTAATCTTGTTTATAATTGTGGGACCAAATCCAGTGATCAGTTAAAGACACTTCTGTGATAATTAATTTAAAATTAAGTGAATTAAAATCTTTATTTGTAGATTGAAATTACTCTGAAAGATAGCACTGATGAAGGTGAATTAGTAAAACATTTTCTACATACAAAAGGGAAAAAAGCTATCAGAGAAAAATTGGAAAAATATGTCTCATCTTTAAAAGAAGGTATATAAATATCAATAATAATTTTGTTTGATATAGGATATATATTTGATATTGTTTATGATATTATCATATCATAGAATTTGTATGTATGCTGTATATTATATTAAGTTGATTCCTTTTTTTATTTAGAATTCACAGTTGGAATGATCCTACCCAAGAAAGATAGCGTGAAGGAATCTATTACGAATATCACATCTGGATTCAATGCCAAAGTGAGTATAAGAAAATATAATTTTCCAGCAGTACATTGTAGTTCCGTTATGTCTGTAGATCACGTCACTAGATCTTTTAGGTCCAGTTTTTACATAACTCAGGATTTATATAGCATGACACATAATCAGTAATTTTTTTAACTTTCGTAGGTTCAAATGAATTCTACAGTGGTATCATCAAATAATAAAAAGGATGCAGGATGTAAGATTTCTACAACAACAATCAAACAGCAGCAGAAATTCCAGTGCAGAGCAGAAGAATTTTACAATGTTTTTACAACAGTTGAGGTAATGTAACTACTAATATTTAGAAAAATATTACTGTTACAGGTGCTATTTAACTGGTACTATTTAATTACTGAATTTCTTTTCATTTTAAAAACAAGTATTGTTTATATGCTTGTTTAAGAATTCTGTTGTTTATTGGTAGTCATTTAAATATATAAGTAGCATGAAAAGAAACAGTTATTGAAATTTCAAATAAAGCATAAGATGATCTGATAAAATAATATTTCACGTAATAATACATGTCGCGTAATAATTAAAAAAAGAGTGTAACTATACATTTTTGTAGTTGTATTTGTCTCATGTATCTGTTACTATTGTACAATTATTTTGAAAGGTCATATACCAGACGATGTAATAACTATTAGGAGACGCGGTAGCGTCTCCATCCGAATTCAAATTGTCATATCTCCGCAAAACTATAGAAGTCAGAGAAAATGTTGTTAAACGATAATTAGACGCTACACAAGAAGTCATCATATGGCGATGAAAATTTCTTTGTAGACTGAGGTACTTTTGAGACATTATTTTTATGTTAAAATAAAAATATATTTACCAAACCTGCGACAACAAGCTGAGATGAGCTGTATCGTTATTACAGATATTTTAATCAAGTGGACATGATAATTGTAAACCTATTTGATTACTTTTTGTTTCGTTACCTATTACAATAGGTACACACTTACATATTCTTATAAATGTATTGATTTATTTATATTAGTACACCGATACATATTTCTAGTTTAATTTCATTCTATGTAATTAAAAAATTTGTTAAACACATTAATTATACAATGATCGCAATTATTGGGTAGAGTATATATTTTTAATTTAGTAATGTTTTTTTTTGCAGATGGTTCAGGCGTTCACGAAAGGACCAGTCAATCTTGAACCAAAGAAAGCAGGCAAATTTGAAATGTTCGGTGGTAATATACACGGTAGCTTTGTAGAAATTACGCCCACAAAAATCGTTCAAAAATGGCGCTGCAAACAGTGGCCTGATGGTCATTTTAGCGATGTTATTATTGAAATCGCAGAGAAAAGTGATCATACTGAAGTTAACTTAACGCAAGTAGGTGTACCAGTTAGGTAAGGAAAAAACAAAACGTTTTTGTTAAAGAAGAAAGACATGGTATTTAAGAAATATGCAAAATGTTCATTAATATTTTCTTGCGAAGTACAAATGAGTAATAGTTATATAAAAAATAAGCAAATGTATTTTTTTTGCAGCGAGGAAGATTCGACGAAACAAAATTGGGAAAGGTATTACTGGGATGCCATAAAACGTACATTTGGATTCGGATATTTTATGTGATCTATGTATGTTCTGAATTTCACTTGCTTATTGATAAGTAGAAGAATGATTAAAACATGTATTGTCGCAAGCCACCTCGCATATCGTTTACGAACTAGCCGCATAATAATCAGCCTGGTACAAATTGTTTTTCTCCTGATGCTAATTATTACAACTATCCTTTAATCCTAATCTTCCTGCTCTCTCTCGTGCACCGCATCGCGTAACCAAGAAACATCAGGTCATAGCTTAAACGTAAGTGAATCATCGTATGTATTAATAGTTGTATATGTGAAATAAATCATGTCACATATTTATATGTTCTTTTTTATCATCTGCTTTTAAGTTCACTCATTATTCTTTTTAGTTTGATATTCTTAAAGTAATTGTTACATAAGTCCGAAAATCTGTTTTATTTGTATTGAAATGATCATGTTTGAAAAAAGAAGGGTGACTTATTTGTGAATTAGAATAATGATGAGCTCTATATGGTAGGTGGTTAAGAATTAAAACAGAAACATTAAATATTTTTTCAAGCCATCAGTAGATGTATAGAACAAGTATTTTATTTTGTTTACCTTCTTATCTTATATGCTTCAGGAAAGTCATTGTACTTACCTCTTTATTTCTTTTGCTCGGTAATTATTTGTTTGAAAAAGTATTTTCATAAATTTTGTAAGAAAGTAGGTAAATGATCAAAATAGGTATGATTAAAATAAAATATATCTATAACATATAAATTGTTTCTTTATTTTCGATAAAAAGTTTATTCTTAACGCAGATACGTAATATTGCAGATATTTTAGTTTTTATATGCTATACTTCAATCTTCAGGATATACAACTCCGACTTGCCTTCGAATCTCATCTTGTAATCGTGCAATCAACAATGAATCATTATGTGACACTTTGGGGCTTTCAATCATACCTTAAAAGAACAATAACAAAAATAAAAAAAAATCAGAAGATGAGTCCATTGTTACAGTGTTAAAAGTTAATATACTGCTACATTTTAAATTTGCAATGAAATACATCTATACAATACCTTTCAAAATGCACTGACGAACTTCTTCAGCTTCGTAACTCAATCCAGCACTATTAATAAAATTGAATTTGTGTGCACCTTCTGGGAGTGGTACAGTGAAAGTGCCACTGGGTAGTTCTGCAGTCAGAGGACACCAAAATGATGGAACTTTTATCATTCCCTTAGTTCCAATAACATAAGCTTCGTTTGGTAAATTAACCAGAGCATTTGTAACAAGTGTTGCAGTACGATTATTCTTATACTGGAAGCTTACAGATACAGACATATCAACGCCCTCTTCGTTTAAAACACCACTTGCTTGTACACTTTGAGGTGCTTCATTGTTAAATATAAAAGATGCAAACTGTATTACATATACTCCCAAGTCTAATACAGTACCACCTCCTAATTCTTTTTTGCTAAACAAAAAAAATAATTTTTGTTATATAATTATTTTATCACATTTTTCAAGAAATATATAAAAGAAAAGATAGAGTAATGGAAATGTTAAGGAGTTTTAATATTAAGATAGGATAGTGGAATTTGTAGGCAGAGTTGTTGATAAGAGAGGTAGTAGTAATCTCTTGAGTGGATGGAACTACAAAAGAGATACAGAAGCAACGTAATAAAAAGTGAAAATAAAATATATGTATGAAATATAAAGGAAGAATGTAGAGTATATCACACTAATGTCAACAAGAGTATACAAATTATCTCATTTTAAATGACCCCTCAGGGCAGTAGCTATGTTTTGATGGAGAAATTACATAATAGATGACTTCTTTGTATATGTAATCATCAAATCTTCGTATAGCATATTTTCATTTTACACAGTTCATGAAATAAATTAGGAGATAAGCACAAATTAAATATTATAAACATACGTAATTCTGTCGACATCGCTCAAATTGAATCCAAAGTTTACCAGAACTTGGTAAACTTCTCCAATGGTCCCAGAGTCAATCTCTTTCCTAATAGTTTCATATACAGGAAAACATCTACTCCAAATAGCTTCCATTAGAAACAGTTTCTTCTGTTTTGCCAAGTTAATTAATTTCGTTGTTTGTTTTAAATTCATGGTTAAGGGCTTTTCACATAAAACATGTTTTCCATGGTTTAACATTAATTTTGTAATTTCATAGTGTTGAGGATGCAGTGCTCCAATATATACCACATCTGTAATAACGAATAAATACATAATATATAATAAAACAGAATCATAAATACAATATTTATGGAAATCGTGATATTTAAAGCACACAAAAGTACTTTCTCTAACACATTGTAAATTGACAAATTAATAAAGTAATGAATATTATGAGTAGAAACACATTACTATATCATTCTATTCCTCTCAACGAGAGGTTTCCATTTATGTACAGAAATCACAACTCGTTCTTAGGTCCTAAATGAATATAATCCTTTTAATAATGTGAATTATGACTGAGGTTATATCTACCAATGTCTTTGTCCTGTGCCAGTTTTGCATAACTGTCATATGCTTTTCTAATTTTGTGTAAGTCAGCAAAGGCTTGAGCTCGTGACAATTCTCTTGCTGCAACAGCGACAACCACATGATCGGATTGTGGTAATGTCCCTAGAGCTGTTACAAAGTCATGAGATATTTTTCCAGCACTTGCGATACCCCACTTAGTAGCCATCTAAAATGAAATTAATTGATCGAGGCTGGTCCAGAAGCTTCCAGAGCTAGTCCAAAGGCTTAGGCAAGCTTAGAAACTATTTGTCATATTTTAACATATATTTAAACTTCAATGGTTCTTTTATAAGTTTGAATTTTATTTTAGTATCTAGGAAAATAGTCTTTAACAGAGTGTCTTCTTAAAAGAAAGTTTATTGAAAAGTCAAATAAATAATTTTGTGTATGCAAATTTACAGACTTATTAACTATCTTTATGTTATATATTTTATTACTAAATGATTTCTACATATCGAAAACATAAAGTATGACAACTTACAATGTTTATGAAAGTTCAGAAAACTATTAGAACTGATTCACGTTAATCCTGAAATTTGTTATATTATACACGACACACCGTCATAAAAATGACACTACCGTTTACTGTGGTTCGCTGTATATATACCGTAATCGTAACACGTCTGCTTCAGATTAGCTTTTATGAATTATTATTTCAGACTGTTAATTAGATATCTTTAGCACTTTTATCTTATCAACATACAGAGCTAACATTTTTATCGGTACTAATGTAACTGAATATAACTTTATTTGCTGAATTTGTTATATTACTCACACATGCGCTGTCAAAAACTGTGATGAGTAGGAAATGGTAGGAAAGTTTAGCTGGATCCGAAAAGAATAAGAAACAAATAAGTAATTAATAATGTTCTTCTAAGCACTTTATTCAAACATTTCCGTGTGTATATTTTGTGATATTCTACAAAAAGTTATTCAATTCTATGATATAACGAAATAAGAGTATACATGTTTTGAAGAATCTTTTGACGATCATAGCAACAATTTTATTAAAAGAAAACTAGAAAAGTATCTCTAAGAGAATAAGAGTTAAATCGAATTATTATATTATTTATTATTAGTTAAATAGAATATACTATAAATAAATTAAGCAAGAAACGATTGTTGTTTTTGTACTGTAACATATGGATTCATTTTGAGCCGAATAAACCTGTATGTGTCTTCAATAAAAGTTTTATCTAGACAAACTTTTATCTGTGAAGCACGTTTTTTGATTTTAAACACATTTTTTGATTTTTTATGTAAGTTTATAAGCATCTATAACTAATATAACTATAAGTCATACGATCTGATTTTTTAAACTTATTGTTATCAACTTCGACGACAAGACGCTCAAGATTGTAGCAAAATAATTTCTACTCTTGATGCTAGATGGTGTCATTAACTAGTTAGTTTACCGACAGTGCAATGTATTATACAGGGTGTCCTAAAAATGTTGTAACACCTTGAAAGAGGTAGTTCGGGAGGTGATTTGAAACAACTTTTTCCTTAGCGAAAATGTTGTCCGAGGTTTCGTTAAGGAGATATTTAACGGAAAACACTGACCAATCAGAGCGTGCGTATGACGGTTGAGCGTAAGTTACGCGCTAGGCGTCCGCACTCATACGCTACCGCGGCCGCTCCATCGGCATACTCGCGCTCTGATTGGTCAGTGTTTTCCGTTAATATCTCCTCACGAAGTCTCGAACAACATTTTCGGTAAGGAAAAAGTTGTTTCAAATCACCTCCCAAACCAGCCCTTTCAAGGTGTAACAACATTTTTGGGACACCCTGTTTATTTCACAATATAAATAATCTATTTTATTAATTTTAATAATAAACTTATAAATTATTATTTTTATAACTGAAAGTAAATTCAAAGAAGAACAAAGGTAATAGAATAAAATGAAAAATTTGAAGCTTTAAAAAAGGATGAAAATACTTGATTTTTCTTAAATATATAAATTATAACAAACATAAAAAGTTGTATTATTTATTCGCTATATTATTTACGTCAGTGCTCGGAATTACTTGCACATTTCGGCCCGATTCCTGAAGCACCACCTCCTGCGACCCCACAACCGCTCTAGGCTCGACGGCCGAGCCGGCGATCGTACGCGCGACGTTGTTTCTCAAGGACGTACTACAATAGATATGTTGGGTTCCACCCGCGTGAGTAAAAATTTCCTTACGCTGTCAGTATTTTTTATTTTTACAGATAAATAAAGTTATTAATATTATGTTTAGGTTTATAAACACCTTTTATATATACATATAATAACAATAATATATGATATATATGGTTTCACGCGGGTGAACCCGACATATCTATTGTAGTACGTCCCTGAGAAACAACGTCGCGCGTACGATCGCCGGCTCGGCCGTCGAGCCTAGAGCGGTTGTGGGGTCGCAGGAGGTGGTGCTTCAGGAATCGGGCCGAAATGTGCAAGTAATTCCGAGCACTGATCTACGTAATAAATTTTGATGTCAAAAAATGATAATTGAAACAAAGTATGTACATTAGTGTGCCCGTACAAATATTACAAGTCATTGCAATATTGCAATTAATTTTCAGACGAAATTACCGGTTTTGCAGGTGAATACATAAATTTTTAAATGTACTTTAACATCATAGTAATTTGTATTATGTGTTAGAAATAAAAATATTCAAACAGAATCGTACAGAATACATCGTTCTGAATATAATTTATCTAAAAGGTTTGATAAACATTATAACTTCAAGTAATAAAGATTTGGATGCTTTCGACAGCGTATTTGTTGAAGTATTTGCGTCATGAGATCGTAGAATTTTCATTTGTAAAGGTAATACAGAATGTCCCAAAAATGTTGTAACAATTTGTTATATTACTCACACATGCGCTGTCAAAAACTGTGATGAGTAGGAAATGGTAGGAAAGTTTAGCTGGATCCGAAAAGAATAAGAAACAAATAAGTAATTAATAATGTTCTTCTAAGCACTTTATTCAAACATTTCCGTGTGTATATTTTGTGATATTCTACAAAAAGTTATTCAATTCTATGATATATACCCTTGAAAAGGGTAGTTCAGGAGGTGATTTGAAACAACTTTTTCCTTAGCGAAAATGTTGTCTGACAGAAAACACTGACCAATCAGAGCGCGCGTGTACCGTTGGAGCGGCCGTGGTAGCGTAGGCTACGCGCTAGGTGGTAGCGCTTCCCGGCCAATCAGACCGCGAATATGTCGATGGAGTGCGGCCCCTTAGCGCGTAGCTTACCTACGCTACCGCTAGCGCTCCACCGGTATACGCGCGCTCTGATTGGTCAGTGTTTTCCGTTAATTTCTACTCAACGGAGCCTCGAACAACATTTTCGCTAAGGAAAAAGTTATTTCAAATCGCCTCCTGAACCACCTCTTTCAAGGTGTTACAACATTTTTGGGACACCCTGTATAACTAAATTCAAAGGTGTACATTTCCTATGGGAAGTACAATTAAAATTCAAAATCCTTTACAGATTTCAAAATATCCGCGTAAAAGTTGTGCAAGAGTTTACCTTTCTATGTATAGTCCGTAAACTTAGGTTAGAGACAGAAAAACTCATTTCGTCTTTCCTAGTCAATTTCGGAACATGTATCATTAGATCACCGTTGGTAGTTTAAAAAAATATGATGGAGTTTGATCATCTACCTTTGTCATTACCTTGTCAATGGTATCTGTAACGTAATGGCGTGTGAGATTTTGTATGAAGTTGCGCGAGTTGACTCTGTGATTTTAGTACATTTTATTTTCCCACGTGGTTCTTCAGCAATGTATCAAAACATTTATGGCTTGAAGTGTTCAGAAGGAATCTAATGTCATCTTCTATTATTGTTTCCACTTGTGGATACACAATAGCACTGTGTAATATGTCCATAAACAGTTTGTATTTTGGTGCCACTTGATACAATTTTGATATATTGTACGAAGAATTATAATATTTTATTCTAAACGTAAGTACATGTGATTACGTTTGTAGCGATTTAGCAAAATCGATCGAATAAGATGTATGAATAACTTAGATATCATCAATTAAATTTAAACTGTTTCTTTGTTTAAATTGTCGAACGTCATTTTTACAATTTTACTTCTTAAATTTAAACAAATTACTCTTTATAAGTAACTTTATATGCAATAACACGAGACAGTTTGAAAAGTTTCTACATATCGAATATCTGTTGCAAAAATTTATTAAATCAGTTGTTAGGTTAGTGTTATTAAATGAAATTAAAGAAATTAATGCTTCCTAATGAAAGAAGATTTTAAATGTCACAAGAAAGAGAATTTGTTAATATTATGCTTTGTTGCTTGTTTTACTTTTTATAGTATAAATTTGTTTCATCGTACAAAGTGCACAGTAGTTTAACTGACATGTACATGTTTGACAAACATGGCATTTCTTATTAATGTTTATATAGTGACTATATCATATAGACTGTGTTCCTTATCTCATTTAATTCTACAATATTATCTCTCTTTTATAAACATTCATCATAAAAATTATGATCATTGCTACCAAAAGATAGATCAACAAACATAATGTCAAAGTAAAATAAAATAATATCAAATCTAATATTGTGTATTTAATAATATTGTGTAGGAATCAAAGTTGTGAAACAAAATGTTTACAATATCTACAAATTACAATAAATTAATGAGATGAAATGTTCGTCGTAGTAGAACAACAAAATTGTATAATTAATTGCAAAAATAACTGAATGCAAACAATTTTTGCAAAATACTTCTTTCAATATGTAGAATAAGTTAAATTCAAGAAATTTACATTTTATTAAAAATAAACACTATATGAGAATAATATGTTAATGTTATTGTTATTTAGTATTTTTTTTTAATAAGGTAATTTGTGATATAAGTGTTTGAAAGTAGATATATATACGTTTATATAAGTCTACAAAAAATCTAAGATGAAAATGTCTCATTATTTCTGAGATACATTATGCATATGCATGTAAAGATAAATTTATGATCTTTAAATATGCTGTTCTAACTATTTTCTTATCTTACGGGAGTGGTTGACAAATTAATTCTATGAATGCATTACAGGAATGTTGAATGACTCATATTCTTTATGTGAGTCATTGTGTTGTAATCCTCTTAAACTTGTATGTCAGTCTCATAGACTTTCAAAAATGAAATCCATTTATTTTTCAGAAATCATTAATAGCACTGGTTCCCCACTCCTTATAGATTTCTAAATAGAGCTTACGTTTACATCAGAACAACCAAACATTCAAAACAGTTTTTTGTAAACTCAAAAAATTAAACAAAGAAAGTATTGTTTCCAAATCATTTTTAGCAATTTTTTATTTTATTATGACTATGAATAAATATTAAACGTGCATTTTATATAAAATAAATATAATTTTTATATAAAAATGTCTTTATTAACAACTAATTTAGCAACGTCAGTAATTAAGTTCGACACAACACTATAGTGATTTTCCTATTGTTTGTAAAACTTGATCAATTTATCTATTATATGGATCTCATCATTCTGTTTTTGTTGTATTAACATGGAGACAGATCCAAGTGTAACATTCAGTTTTTAATGGGCTTTTGCATGGGAAATGCTGAAGCTATTTATACTTAGTTGTATGGCCGGTTGGATTGACTGTATGTTAATAGTGTAGCGGTTATTTAACGTTAAATAAAGATTAAGAAAGTAATGGCAAATAAAGTGCATTTTATATTGAGAACACGATTTCGCGTCTAAATAATCTACTTATACAAACCATCTAATACATACATCTATACTATGTATCTATAATATATATACATCTAAAATATTTATAATTTTTAACCTATTAGTATTCCTCCTCCATGGGATTCATACAGCATATTAGAGACATGTATTCTCAATCTAAAATACTTCTACTTTGCCATTATCTTATTCATTTTTATTGATCATTAAGGCACATAACGGTTTGATGAGTTCACGGTGCAAGTTGGTAGTTGCTGTTATTTTTTCTGTGGGTGCTCACATTTTATTGGGACAACGCTTACTTTTTTTATCGCAATTTTTATTTACTATATAATAAATGAAACGCGCAACCATATAGAGAGGGAAAATTCAAATCAGCATATCATGAAACTTTTTTCAATCTGAGGTTTCCTTTATTTACTATGAATAAATGGGACCTCACATCGAAAGGTGATTTAGGACTTTTCAGCTTGGATTTTTTTTGTTTATTCAATGTGATAACTACTCACAAGTATTTGAACAGCTTCGCAAGTTGGGAAAAGTACAGGTTATTTAATAGCTAACTAATATTTATTGTTTATGTTTTTCTTGCAATACACTCTAAAGTTGAATATATATTAATAATAATGCCGTTTTGAAGAATAATCAGGTGTTAAGAGGATACATCTACTCCGACGAGTAAACAAAATTTTGCATTCCAGACACCATATATACATATGTATATGTATATACTATAAATCAATGTTAGTTGTTTTTTCGATATCTAATGACCTTTCACCCCTCACCTCCCAAATGCAATAGACAATCGGACAGCTTGACCCAAAATTTCTTTTTTTTTTTTTTTCCGGAAATTAATCCGAGCGCAATCGATTGCATAATTGCATAAATCATTTATGAGTGGTCCTGAATAAACCTACAAAATTAGACCCGATCTGTGTAATACACTTAATGCGATCTCCTTATAAGAAACAAACGTAATTGTATATAATTTGTACGTTGTATGTAAAAATAAATATTTAGAGTGTAATATTAACTGTAAATATACACACGGTGATAGTGATTCGTATAGTGTAAACAATCAATGACTGAGTTCGTTTAATTCCTTCCTATTCACGGTATTATACGTGAAATAAACATTCTGATTCTTGAGATCCCTTTTGATTGTCCAATCATGCAATATTGTTGTTGTTTATACCTCGATAATTTGTTTTCATCATTCTCGATCTTTTTAAGGAGGAAATCTACAGGATGTCCCAAAAATGTTGTAACACCTTGAAAGGAGTAGTTCGGGAGGTGATTTGAAACAACTTTTTCCTCAGCAAAAATGTTGTTCGAGACTTCGTTGCGGAGATATTAACAGAAAACCCCGACCAATCAGAGCGTGTAGCCTACACTACCGCGGCCGCTCCAACGGTATATGCGCGTTCTGATTGGTCGGGGTTTTCCGTTAATATCTCCTCAACGAAGTCTCGAAACACATTTTTGCTAAGGAAAAAGTTGTTTCAAATCACCTCCTGAACCACCCCTTTCAAGGTGTTACAACATTTTTGGGACACCCTGTATAAAAGATTCCTGCAACTTCTCGGGGAAGCCCCGAAATTTTATAGGATTCCCCACGCCTATACCACAACATCCTATTTTTGTTTTTTTCATGGGAGAGATTTCTTGCAGGACGCATTTTTTTTGTAAATAATAAACTACCTAATTGTAATAGAATATTTTATTTTAAATCTTTCATTCACAGATATATTCAAAACATTAAGTTCTTGTAAAGTTGTTACTAGGTATCACAGATTTTTAATAATTATTTTGTAGAATTTTGCACAATTTGTTGTACATAAATTAATTACGCGGAGATTAAATGTTTTTAATGGTTTCAACTGCTCTACAGGGTGTCCCAAAAATGTTGTAACAGCTTGAAAGGAGTGGTTCGGAAGGTGATTTGAAACAACTTTTTCCTTAGCAAAAATGTTGTATGAAGCTTCGTTAAGGAGATATTAAAGGAAAACACTGATCAATCAGAGCGGAATATGCCGGTGGAGCGCCCGCAGTAGCGTATGAGCGCGAACGCCTAGCCGCTCCAACGGTATACGCGCGCTCTGATTGGTTGGGGTTTTTTGTTAATATCTTCTTAACGAAGCCTTGGACAACATTTTAGCTAAGGAAAAAGTTGCTTCAAATCACCTCCCGAACCGATTTTTTCAAGGTGTTACAACATTTTTGGGACACTCTGTATACATCAAATTGTTTAAGTAATGTCATCTTGCGTTTCAAATGCAAAACAATGATAACCGACTACGATACGGAAGGAATATTATAAACTGAGCCGTTGATCTATTATGCCATACGCTTCACTCTCGTCGATTATACTGATTATACATCGAGAAGCATTAAGTTCTGCCATTTAAGGGGAATAAAGCACGCTAGAACGCATCCCGTTTTCTTTCTCAGTAAGCGTCTAGTTGTGCGGCTGTAACGCTACCTGGTGTTATTTAAACATTATAATAGGTTATCAATCCAACGGACAGATTATTTTCATTACATTCATCATTTTATATCATTTATATCACGTTATAACTTATACAATTTGCCTCAGCAATCGTATTACAATCAGGAAGGAAGTGATGATTCATAGAAAATCTAATTGAAAGTATAAATTAATAGAAAAGTCACATTGAAAATTTATTGGATATCTGTGTGCTTGATTAATTGTAAGTCTTCAGCACAGCTCTGTATGCAATAACATAGCAGCATTTTGGATATTTACTATAATAGAATTAACCTTGGAAGGTGATTGCCATATCTTTATTTACTAAAACAAAACAGTCTGATAACTGAATAAACAACAGTCCGCACTGTAAACCATTTTATCAAGGCTTACAAAATAAATGGACATGCATGCACTTTACTAATCGTAGATCTTGATGTAATGGATTTCAGTATAGACTGTGTTTGATTAGAATGGCACGACTGTTTTTCATTCAGTCATCAATCACTCATTCAGACCGATTCATCTAACATTTATTTTGTATATTTTATTTGAATGATTACTTTTTATTACACATTTCATAATGTAGAGTACATCAATATATGTAGAATATTGGTCCTTTGTTATATTGTAATCTATGTTACAATTTCCACAGATAACATATTTCAAACATTTTGTGCTACATATATAAATGTTTTGGGTATTATGACGTATTAACCTTTTTGCTACCATGGAGCTAGCTGAAGTTACTATGTCTGTATGAGAGATGCAGGATTCAGATCTGTTACTTTGTTGTATTATGCAATTTATTTAAGTTATTCTTGCTTTATCCATACAACTGTTCTTTCTCTAAGCAAATGCATTACAGTTATTCATTATTATAGTAGATTTATAGCGATAATTGAGCAGTATAATGGTCGCTAGACTGCTGATTTCATGCATTTATGATGTACAATAATATATTCAACATACATAATGTAGGTTGAATATATTCTACAATTATTATAATGGTATCGTTATTTTATTTTGGATAAGTGCACATGCCTTTGGTTATGTTTAGCATACGTTTATTATATTAGTTTATATCATAAATACATAAAATCCACAGCCTAGAGACCACTCGTGCACAGAGTTAGTAGCTCGATTGACCACCAAGATGGTCGCCTGTATCAAAAAGGTTAACATCTAAAATATCGTGTGCTACTTTGTTATTTAAATAAAATGTGCAAAATAATACTTATATAATATCGGTATTCATTCTTAAAACATAATGATGGGTAGTTAATAAAAAGATAATAGGTTTATTGGATTGATAATATATTGAAAATTTTACATATCGTGGAGCTATTCTCAGAGCATTGTTATTTCATAGCAATTTATGCTATTGGTCGCTTTAGGTTAGCCACGTCGAGGTTAGATGTTTTGGAAGGTTCAACCTGGTCTATCATGCGATCGATGACAGAGTGAATCTATAAAATGCTGTCTAGCGTTTCAGCCACGCGACAACTAGAAGTTTGCCAAGATAGCGAAGGGGTTGCATTTGGCATGCCGTATTCCCCAAAAGTGGCAGAAATGAATGTCTCCCTGTTACGTAAGTGCAATTATGTTATAGTTGTTCATGTGAATGTGGAGATAAAGTTGAGAAACAGTTGCTAAATTCGTATCTCTTACTGACATCAGTAGTGTATGAAAATCGCAGTGTCTGTAGAAGATATGGAAGTCAGCATCGAGGTGTTGAGAATGCGGAGTTTTATCAATTTCTTTCCTCTATGGATTATTATATACCGGTTGATTATCGTTATGTATGATTCTGAAATTACTTTTAGGGGCATACAAATACCATGGGTCGTTACACGGGAAAGAAGTGTCGCCTAATGACAATGTTATGGCTAACAGCTCTATTTTTCTTAGTAGAAATAGTAGTGGGTTATGTAACTAACTCGATGGCATTGATAGCTGACAGTTTTCATATGCTGTCTGATGTAGCAGCATTGGTTGTTGCATTTCTTTCTGTAAAGGTAAGTTATGTTCACTTATCTTTGTTCTTGCAGGAGGATCTTGTGACAGGGATGAGAGTTTATTTTGAATGAAATCTGGTTAAAATGTAAAATTGTAGATGCTGTCTTTAGATATTTGTCTTAATGTTGTCAGTAAAAATTTAAGTATTATAATAGGGTGAGTGTAAGTGTCCGAATTGTACAGACAAATGTAAAGAATTTCTACATCCTTCATGAAAAGTAATTGATAAAACAAATTCTCATATATAAGCTATTTATGTAACAGAGTTAGAAAAGAATGTGATATACAGTATCTGTATATACCATAATATATCTGTGTATACCTGTATGTACGTACTAGTATTTTGAACTTGCCAAAATGCAAACAAACATACAAGCAGCGGCCGTCACTGCGCGTGTCCGCCATAATGTGTCCGTCCATTATGGTCCCTGCATGCGTCATGCAGTGACGGCCGCTCTTCGTATGCTTGAATATGTATACTCGTTATAGTTACGTAGCGGTAGAATATTCTTTCTATTTTTAAGTATCTATGAACACAAAGTTATCATCTTAACCACTTTGGTACGAGCGTCGACTATAGTCGACAGCCACAGAGTGACCAGCTGGTGGTTAAAGTGGTTAAAGTTCAGATATAAAATACAAAACTCACTAGTTGTAGAAGGCTTAAACTGAGCAATTGTTAATTTTTCGAAGCAATTAAGAAATACAATTCTATTTAGATATATTCGCAAGGGAACTTCCCTGATAGGACCGCCGATATTTAAGTGTGAATGCTGTATTGAAATGCTGAAGATGGCGAACACGGCGGTCCTCGTGAAATTCTCTTGTCAGTTCAACATATCGATTCAACTTATACTATTAATGAATGTTTATTGTTTCTAAAGGTTACCTTCTTAAATTGTTTGTGTAGAGTCCTTACAGAAATTGTTTTTGTAATTTGATAATTACTTGTATTTTTATAAATTTTCAGATGTCGCCAAAGAAATGGTCTAAAAATACATTTGGCTGGGCCAGAGCAGAAGTTTTAGGTGCTTTGGTAAATGCTGTTTTTTTAGTTGCATTGTGTTTTAGTATTACCGTGGAAGCATGTAAAAGATTTATTGAAGTAGAGGAAATACATGAAGCTAAATTACTTGTAGCGGTCGGCGCACTTGGGTTACTAGTGAATATAATTGGGTTGTGTTTATTTCATGGTAAGTCACTCTACAGGGTCAAACTTTTATATTAGTATTTATTTGTATCTCCTTTGATGCAAGGAACGAAGAAAGATAATACAAGGAAATAATCTTTCAATTTGAAAATTCATATATATATATATTACGTTACAATTTTGATTGCAGAACATGGAAATGCTCATGGACATTCACATGGTATTTCTCGAAGCCATAACAGGCTTAGCTCTTTAGTTGGAACAGATGACAATGAGAATGATGAAGCTTATAGGCCATCGACGCCTCAAGTGAAAAGGACACATGGTCATTCTCATGATGCAAGTCAAATGAATATGCGTGGTGTATTTCTTCATGTACTGTCGGACGCATTAGGCTCTGTTATTGTAATAGTGTCTGCTTTAATTGTCTGGCTGACGAATTGGAAATACAGGTAAATAAATTGTCTAATTTACGTATGTGGAAAGTTGATATTATTTTATTCTTTTAACAAATGAAAAAAGTGGAAAATAAATTCGAAATTAATTAAATGCCTGCAGTCCCGCGTAATGTTTTTGCTTTCGAGTAGCATAAGTTAAATCTTTTGATTAATAAGTCCTTGGATCAGTTAGTGTTCTACATTACCGATTGTTACCAACAGAAAGTGCCAAGATTATTGACAGAATCCTTCTCCTTCATTCGAATGTATTCGTGTACAATATTTAAACAATTTTAAATAGTATGTAATAATTTTCGTTCAACTTATTACTCATATAGTATTTAATTTTATTTAATGTTTATACGGAACATTTCTTTTTTACAGATTTTATATTGACCCGGCTCTTTCACTTTTGTTAGTTATTCTTATTCTGCGGTCAGTGTGGCCGTTACTTCAAGAATCTGCGTTGATTCTTTTACAGACTGTACCAACACACATTCAGGTGAGCACTACGATGAGAAGTTTGTTAGTGACAATGATATTCCCACATATACAGGGTGTCCCAAAAATGTTGGAGGTCCTTGAAAGGGGTGGTTCGGGAGGTGATTTGAAACAACTTTTTCCTTTGCAAAAATATCGGATGGGGCTCTGTTAAGTAGATATTAATAAAAAAAAAACCGACCAATCAGAGCGCGCGGATACCGTTGGAGCGACCGCGGTAGCGAAGACGACGCGCTGAGCGCCGACGTCAATATCCTTCGATGCACATCGAGTCACTTTTTCGCGTACGAGAGCGGCTACCCAGCGCGTAGCCATTGCTATTGCGGCCGCTCTAACAGTATACGCGCGCTCTGATTGGTCAGTGTTTTCCGTTAATATCTTCTCAACAAATTTCGCTAAGGAAAAAGTTGTTTCAAATCACCCCCTGAACCACCCTTTTCAAGAACCTCTAACATTTTTGGGACACCCTTTATACACACTGTGTGTATATCTACAAGTATAATGTACATTATTCTACGCAATATATAATGTTTTCTCCAGGTTGATGCTATTCAACAACGCTTATTAGAAAATGTTGATGGTGTATTGGCTGTACACGAATTTCATGTATGGCAATTAGCTGGCGATCGCATTATTGCTTCAGCGCATATAAGATGCAGAAATTTGTCGGAATACATGAAAATTGCCGAACAAGTAAAAGAATTTTTTCACAATGAGGGCATACATTCTACTACTATACAACCAGAATTTATTGACGTAAGTACATTATTTTATATATTATGCAAGCTAATTTAAAATGAATTGTACATGATAAATCTTATCTTGTTACAATGACTAATAAAATGTTATCGATAACATTTTAGTACCAGTCAAATAGTGAGATTAAGGAAACACCAACAGAAGATTGTGTGTTGGATTGTCCAAAGACTGACAAGCCTTGTAATCATGCAACATGTTGTGGTCCCTCTAAGCAGGTATGTGTTTTAAATTTTGTTGCATGTTATTTCTTTACGATAACTCCAACGCTTCTACAGTATAACCTCAAGAGAGATACAATTTCCCGTTCTGCATGCCCTAAATCAAAATGTCTTGGCCGATGTTTAGAAGCTATTAAATCAGATTCAAATACAGTTATAGGTAACTGTTTATATTTAAACTTGTTAATCAATTTGCGCACAACGCTCGATAACTGCTTGTCTTAATGGGAGATTAAAAATCTATAGTATGTCAATTGCTTGAGTAGTAGCCTCCTTCCCTGCTTGTTGTCCATATATAAATTCATTGGTGTCTTATTTTTGGATATTTTTGCTACATTAAACTTGAATGTAATTATTTCATATTTGTTTACAGGGTCGTGAAACTCCTTCGCCAGGAGAAACACCATACATGTGCAGACAACGTAATAGTCTCGCACGCTCAACTGGTTCTGTGAGAGGTACAGAACAACAAGAAGTAAATGAAATGGAACGTGGACATTTGCTATCGCTGCCTGTCTCGCATAACTCCGTCCAACTTCCACATTCTCATGTTAATACACCAGTTGTCTAAGTTATCATCGTATTATCAATACCTACCTCTATAACAAAATCTGCGGCGCGTTACAATGTTATTATAAAGATTCAATAAACTGATATACATAAATGTTTTATTGGTAATATTTTCTGGGCTAAGTTCTGGGAATGCTAAAAGCAGCGGTTCCTGTAAGATCACCAAAGTTAAATGGCATTGGGTGCGGTTAGTGCTAAGATAGATGATTACGATAACCTAAGAACACTGCATTAATGTTAGCTTTGGAGAGGACTGTCGACAGATGGAAAATTTAGAGCTTATAGTCATTGTTGTGCATAGTTCTCCCAGGAGGAGGTGGTAGGATAACATGGCTCTGTCCTGTTGATGGAGTAATGAGATAAAGAGAATGAATCAAATGAATGATGCAATTGATTTGGAATCGAGTGATTTAATAGTAAACGAAACTTTAACTATACTTATAGTTTATTTACTATACATAATTTGTTACTACACTTCACAAATTGTTTAACGATACAAATGATCGGCATGAATATTACTCGCAATTTCAGATTCCCACCTGTCTCCATTATTCAAAAGTTTTTCTTTATTATATAACATTTCTTCGTGTGTTTCTGTAGAAAACTCGAAATTCGGACCCTAAAATAGTTAATATAAACATAGCAAACCGTTTTTAAAGCTAAAAAACTTTATTATAAAAGGCCAAACTATTGTCAGTACCTCTACAATTGCATCCACTGGACAAGCCTCTTGACAAAAACCGCAATAAATGCATTTAGACATATCTATATCATATCTTGTTGTTCGTCGAGAACCATCAGCTCTTTCTTCTGCTTCAATAGTGATAGCTTGAGCAGGGCAGATTGCTTCGCATAATTTACATGCAATACATCTCTCCTCTCCTGAAGGATATCTAATAAAATAAATGAATTGCATTTTGTTAACAATAAAATTTAAATTGAAAGGGTTCTTAAACAGAATGAAAATTTGAAGTTTGATAGAAATAATATATATATATATGTATTCATTTATCAATTACCTTCTTAGTGCATGTTCTCCTCTAAATCGTGGACTTAAAGGTCCTTTTTCAAATGGATAGTTTATCGTTGCTGGTTCTCTGAAAAAATGGGACAATGTAATTCCCAGTCCACGAACAATTTCTAAGAAAAATGCTTTCTCTACTACTTGGTCAGCAACGTCATTCCATGTTTTTACATTTTCCTCTTTACAAACAGAATAATATTTACTTCGAGATGAGGGCACAGTCAAAACCTTTGGAGTTGTTTGTAATAGCTTCAAGCCTGTCAATTATTAGAAGAAAAGTCAAACGAATAATTAAAATGAAATTGTTACAGACATTATGTAATTGTACTGTCGTTGGTATATACGTTACTAATATAGTAAGCGTTAGAGGTTATAATATGTTGTAATGTAAAATAATTAAAAAATAGTCAATATTAAAGATTACATTTACCTAATGGTGCAAGCTTGAGAGATGACATCTTGAAATTGTAAAAACAACTTCTTAGTATACGAATAATTAATATTGAAACTTCACTAAACACATATGAAGTAACAATAACCTTCTTCGATTACAAAATTAACAATTTCGTACTTGTCATAATACGCACTTGAATAAATGCACGTATATATCAGAAAGAGTGCATTCGGTTTAAATCCTTCTGTCCAATTTAGGTAAAGTATCTTCAAGTATCTTTCCTTACCATAATTCCCTGCAAGCTAGTGAATTGAGCATGCTAAACTATAAAATACTCCTACAGAGGCGAAACTCTGACATTTTTTAGATCCCGATTTTGAGAGCGCATGTGTATTCTAAGAAGGTGGTTATTTCCCAACTATACTAGTCAAAACCAAACTTAAATACAGAAAGTATTAATAAGTATTAATAATTTATTTTCTATAATATAATTTGTAACTTATTATTGTGATAGTGATTTTTAATGAAAAAAAAGTTGTAATTGATATAATTACAGTTGCAATTAGTTTGTCAAGTATTATTTTATCCAACATAATCGTGCAATCAAATACGCGGCAACTTCGAGACGACAACCGAATTGAAAAATAAAGCTACTAGTGGTTGCTGCATAAAAGGAGCACCTCTGCGCCTATGAGATGACAACCGAATCGACAAGGAGGCTAGTATCGGTTGCTGTATATTAGGGGCATCTCTGCGCCAACGATCTAGCAACCGGGTCTACAAACAGGCTAACTTCGGTTGATATCTAACAGGGGCATACTCGTGGTTACTTGATGACAACTAACATTTCGTTCACTTTTCGTTCAGGCCGCGTTAGTCACCGGTGACTGACGCTAACTTTTCGTTCACATTTGAATAGCATGGATACCTCCCAACACCTCCTTTTAACACCTCCTAAAACCTACTAACACCTTATAACATCTTATAACCTCTCCTGAAACCTCCTAACACCCTCTAACATCTCTTAACAGCTTCTAACACCATCTAACATCTCCTAACACGTCCTGATATCTCCTGAGACCTCCTAACACCTTCTAACACTTCCTGACATCTTCTTACAACTTTGCTCCGCTCGAAACTTCAACAAAGTTGCAGCGCTAAAATTACAACAAAGTTACATTTCAAAAGTTCAACAAGATGTGGAAGATCGCTTCGGCTGGAAACTTCCGAGTTGCCACTTTGTCGAAGTTTGACCAGAAGCTATTTGCAACATTGTTGAATTTTGCCCGCTCAAAAGTTCAACAATGTTGCAAATTGGGGAGAGGGAACTTTAAGGGGAATTGTAGCAAGACATGAAAAAAAATATATACCAGGAAACAGAGGAAATTGAAGGGAAATGTGCCAGAAAATAGAAGGAAAATGAATGGAAATATGTCAGGAAATGAACGAAAGTTAATGGAAAATGTACCAGGAAATGAAGGGAAATTAAAGGGAAATGTACCACGAAATGAAGGGAAATTAGAGGGAAATGTGTCGGGAAATGAGGGGAAATTAAAGGGAAATGTGTCAGGAAATGAGGGGAAATTAAAAGGAAATGTGTCAGGAAATGAGGGGAAATTAAAGAGACATGTGTCAGGAAATGAAAGGAAACTAATGAGAAATCTAGCAGGAAATGAAGGAGAATTACTTTCCATTCATTTTTGGTTTCGATTTGTATTGTACAAACTGTTTTACAGTCAAAAGTATCATACAAAATTTCTTTTTTCTGTCGGCTGCCATAAGTCTTATTGATTGACACAACACAACACACAATGACAGACCCTGACAGAATCGAGCAGCCCCTGAGCACCAGACAGACTCAACCTGAACCTGATAACCCCTGAAGGTCAGAATTTGTTAGAAGGCCCCCTTGCAGAAGGCAACATTGTTGCAAAATGAATATTTTTTATTTGCAAGTTTCTATCTGAAATGTAAAGTTGTGAAGTGTGTGGTTTTAGGTGTTAGTATGTATTGTGCTACCTCTTCATTAATTATATGGTACATCTGGATTTGGGAAATACAGATTTTAATTAATAACGTTTCATTGTCATCTAAAAAATTACTTGTAATTTAATGAAGTTTTTGCCTTAGGATTATATTAAAAATCTATTAATAAATAACAGCTAATGTATTACATATTTAATGAATTTGTAACAAATGTTATATTATAAACATTTAATGAAACAATGCTTCTACATGTGTATAACAATTTATGTATACAAACAAAAAGTTACCCCTAATTTAATTACAACATGGATAATAACTTATTTCTTGTTACAGTTACAATACAAAATTTATTACTATTTACATTATATACAAGTCGACAACTTAAGGTTTATTTATTACTATTACACATGTACATATATACAATAGTACAGAAAATTGTCATAAATATTAGATATAACATAATATTTTACTTTTACATAATATTAGACTTGACAGTTTCTGTTAACGTTAATAAATTAAAACATGAAGCCACTTAAAAAATAGAAATCATCATAGTATTCTCTAAGGTGACTGTACTCGCAAACAAGTTTGATCACTTTTATGTAATCATCAAATATACTTCCCTTTATAAATAGTTTCTTGAACTTTTTGAACATACAACAATTTCGTTTCTTTCAAAATTTAATGTGTATGAAAATAATTGTTTATCAACTTTGTACGTGTCATCTCTGACCTCATTTTAAATTAAATATTTTATTTCTAATGTATTTACAAACTAAAATAATCTTTATGATTATTTTTCCATTCAATTCTAATTTGTAAACAAACAAGCTTATTTTTCTTTACCCCATTCCTCTGAGACATATCTCAGCAAGTCGGTAAGGTTCTCAAATTCAGTTCTACTTTGAGGAGGATCATTCTTTGGTATACGCGGTAACAGAGATCCAACTTTTAATCGAAATTCTTCGGCAGTTTTAGCTCCAGAGAACTTCCAAATACTATAAAAAAGCAATCCACATCCACTAATCGCCCACACAGAACCCCAAAAAAGTGCTCTTGTAGCAAGCATTGCTCCTGACTCTGGAAGACCTTTTCCTCCCAGGACTCCCATATCGAAACTTTTTGTATCTTGTTTTTTAGCTGATGACAAGGCACTGCAAAAACCAATCATAGCAGAAAGTCCTGCTACTCCGCTTAAAAAGATTGTAGCTGTAACACAAATAGCAAAATTCCCCAAATAATTCAATTACATAAATACAAGTTAATAACAAAAAATAAAAGACAGTTAAATCTTTATCACTTCACAAATTTGGAATAAAATTATAGTCTAAATCACATCGTCAAACTTCTAATTAATATTTAAATAACATATTTTAGAGTTATTTTCATTATTTATTAACTTCATGATTAAAATTTCAATAAAAATTTGAGTTATCCTTAAGAAATGAGTCTATTTTGGAAAAATACATGTTATATAAATTTGCGAAGTTTTGATTTATTGTCAAAATTAAATGAAGTGTAACCCATAATTGCTTTTATAACATAAACCTACCATACAAGTTTTCTGTTTGTTTCTTCGTGCTTTTGTCAGACATGATGATTGCTTTGCATTATAATGTATTGTATATAATGTCAAGATATATCGCGTTATCGTGATAATAACAGCAACTTTTGCCTTCGAAGAAACTCGAAGAAAACTAGAACAGTTAGAAATAATTTATAAAATTATAACCATGCTGATTCCTCAGTGGTTTACATGTACACCATAGATCACAGAGTAGTTTTACAGAGGCGAAACTCTCGTCAGAAAAATTAAACCAATGGTTCAATATAGCGTCCTGCCTAAGTAAAGTAAAGTATATCCACGAAGAGTGTACAGGGTGTCCCAAAAATGTTGTAACACCTTGAAAGGGGTGGTTCGGGAGGTGATTTGAAACAACTTTTTCCTTAGCGAAAATGTTTTGCGGGGTTTCGTTGAAGAGATATTAACGGAAAACACTGACCAATCAGAGCGTGAGTATGCCGGTTGAGCGTAGGCTACGCGCTAGGCGGCTGCGCTCATACCCTACTGCGGGCGCTCCACCGGCATACTTGCGCTCTGATTGATCAGTGTTTTCCGTTAATATCTCCTCAATGAAACCCCGCAAAACATTTTCGCTAAGGAAAAAGTTGTTTCAAATCACCTCCCGAACCACCCCTTTCAAGG